ATAACTATGGTTTCTCTACAATAATTAAACCAATCATTAATAGTGCCTCGACTTAAGCATTGTTGTCTATCTTCTTTATATGGATCTTCATTAATAGTTGTATAATAACTCCAATTTTGTGAATATGCATATAGTAAATAGAAGACATGTACTAAGTCTAATTTAATGTTTTCGAAAAATGTTCCTTTATTTCTAGATACTCTTGATTTTGATTTGCAAATTCCTTTTCCACAAGACCATGTGCCAAATGTTTTATTCGTCGATTTAATTATTTTCATGGGTACACGATGTCTTCCACATTGCTTTTGAGAATGCACTAATCCATGTTCTTCAGCGAATGCCATACACTGCTCATTATTGCCTAAAGTTTTATTTACTTTAGTTAAATTCCACATTTTGAGAACTTCATCTTTAAAAAGATGACGATCCTCCAAGGGCCCATCATCCTCAAATGCCGGTCTACCAAGCGTTGTGCTGGTAGACGGTTCAGATTCAGTACCAAATCTGAAAATGATCGCAAGAAATCAGTAGGTATCTAGTATGTATGTAAAGTGAAGTTTAAAAAAAATGCTAATAAAATAACGCACATTCACGTAAAAAGTAACGGCTTTTTAACGGATATTTTGCACTTTATCACTGTTCACACAGGTTATTTTAAAAATATTAATATACTAACCTAAGATGATGATGGTCCTCAAAAGCCGGTCTAGGAAGCGTTGTGCTTGTAGAGTTCGGTTCAGGTTCAGTAGGTTTGGTGGTACCACACCCACGTCCACTATTTGTAGACGCCATTATACGAAATCTGAAAATGATCGCAAGAAATCAGTGTCTAGTATGTATATAAAGCTAAGTTTTAAAAAATTGTTAATAAAATAACGCACATTCAAGCAAAAATAAAAAAACCTAAAAAGTAACGGCTTTTAACTGATATTTTGCACTTGATCACTGTGAACAAACACTGTTCTGGCAAAATCCACATTCGAAATGGCCGATTGCGTTTATACTTTATACTTAAAAAATTAATAGAGATGGGAAAAATAATCTATTCTGTGAAAGTGAAAATCGATTTTAGTATTCGATATAAATCCGATTTTAAATCCGATTTTGTATTCGATTTGAGTTTCAGTTGAACAGTTATTTAAAAAAAATATTAATATACGGTTAGTATATTAATATTTATATAACGTAACCAATCTAAATAATATTTGTTTTTGTGGACAGTTCCGATCTAAATAGTAATTGTTTATTGAAGCCTCGGCTTCTCGGCGTCCTGGTCGCCTTCGGCGACCAAATATTCATATACTAACTCTAACCTAACCAATCTAAATAATATTTGTTTTTGTGGACAGTTCCGATCTAAATAGTAATTGTTTATTGAAGCCTCGGCTTCTCGGCGTCCTGGTCGCCTTCGGCGACCAAATATTCATATACTAACTCTAACCTAACCAATCTAAATAATATTTTTTTTTGTGGACAGCTCCGGCGCTACGGGAAATGCAGCCCCTCCACCCTTGCGTACCAAAGCACAGGCATTTTATGCCAGTGCTTTGTTACAACTTACAGCGGGTGGGGGCTGCTCTTCCTCCGCGCCTCCGATTATTTATATACACTCTAGGGGTAAGGCAGACAAGACCACGTGGATAGTGGGCTGCTCTGATTCGGTTTTGGGTACTATTTGAATAATTTAATAATTTTCGGAACCATACATTAATTAAAACATGAAGTTAATGTAATGTATGTACATTTGACAAGTAATGCTTAAATTAGGTTCAACTATAAAATTAACAAATGAGAAAATAATCGATTCGATTAGGTTCAACTTTAAAAATAACAAATGAGAAAATAATCGATCCAATTAATTTACCGAAAATGTCACATCACTTATAACCAATAGAAAACGACAATGACACATCACTTATAACCAATAGAAATCGAGAAAGTCACATCTCTTATAACCAATAGAAAAGTAGTTAGATAATGGCGGATTGTTTATAATTTCAATACAATTGACAAAAGTTAAACAATTTTTTTAAAATACTTTGACGCTTATCCTAAAGCTAAAATCACTTGGAGGTGTTCCAATCAAGGGTCCCCGAGACTCCTGCACAATCAGTATCATCAAATTCCATCGCATTGATATCAACCCCAACCCCATTTTTGTGTTATGTTGTATCATATAATTTACTTATATATCTGAAAATATTGTTATTATTATTGTATTAATAATAAAATTATTTATTGGATCTATTATTTATTTAATGATGTGCGTGCTTAAAAACAATTATTATTATAAGAATGTATTTTAATTAAAATTTCCCATAATACTATAAATTTATGGAGTAACCTTGTAAATTACATTGCATAGCAGAAATTTGAAATATTGCCTTGTTATTTTATACAGATTAAAGAAAGAACAACTAATAATTTTTATTTGATTTTGACCCTTTTTTTTTATTTAATGGCTCTGGCACGATTTGTGCATTAGCCAGCGTCAAGTATAGGATTTTTTGATAATTCGTGCTTGTCTTTAGAAATTCGACCGTGTCCTTCATGTACGGTTTAAGCACTCGCCCGGTACCGCACAACCCTCCCAAAGGCCGAGAACAAATTTAAATTAAATTAAAACTTGCCATCGAACCCGGTACCCCTCACCTAGCTGCCACTTAATAAGACCGCTAGGCTATGAGGCCCCTAATGCTGTATTTATTAATATTATTTTATAAAATTACCCCGAAATACACATTAATGTATAGATATTTTTAAAGTTCTTTTTTATAAAACGAAACTTCGCTAAAAATGGTTAAATCACTAAACCAAAGAGGAAAGAGCAAAAACAGCAAAACTTTTAATTTGACGTAAAAATTCGATTTCACTGCTGATTTTAAATCAATGAGAGATATCAAATAGCATTATCTGGCGCTGGCGAGGATTTAAGTATTTCGTATTGATAGGAATTAAAGTTCGGACCAATATGACAAAATAATAATGAATGAAGGTCGTTGCTGCGTTTTAAGCTACAGGGGTTTAATTCTAAAAAAATCGATACTAAATCACTTGCTCGTGTCTCTGGGGTCACTTGACCAGTGACCACTATACCATTTAGATAGCTAGGCGATAAAAACGCGGCGCGCATTGATATACAAAAACCCAAGATGCACAATCAACGTCTAAAAAACGTCCTCAAAAAATGAGCGCAACACTCTAAATTGTGCGCTCATTTCAAATAGTCTCGCGTCTATAAGTGGAGTCGATGTTATTTATTTGTGTTTTTTTTATAAATAAATTTATGTACTCTTGAACTTTTTTGTGTGTAGTTTTTGACAAATATATTTACGCTATATAAAGTGTGGGTCAGGAGGTAGCCAATTTAACATTTTTTTTTAATTTAAAGAAAAAACTTTTTAACCGGATTTATGTTATGTATTATTATAAATTTACAACTATTTAACATCCAACACCTTTTGTCTTCAGTCACCGTGACCACTCACGCTGTAAAGCACCCGAAAAGTCGGATAAATTTAAAATTATGTTAAATAGTTGTAAATAAAAAAGTCATGTTCGACTCCACTCAATACCTTGTCCTACCGACCACGGTCGGTCGTAAAATTTTATTGCTTTAAGTACACTGCGTTGTAATAACAACTTTAAGCAATTCGCGTAAGGTTGATTTTGCAATAATATATGCTTGTAACATATACTGTTATGGACAGAAATAGTGTTTCGGGACACTTTCGAGCGTTACTTTTATTCGAGACTGTGCATCTTGGGTTTTTTGTATATCAATGGCGGCGCGGCAAAAAGTTGGTCTTTTTCTGCACGCAGCCGTCTAAGCGTACGAACGTGTTCTTCTCAGAACACTTCGATATCGTAGCCTTGCGATAACGCTAATAACTGTCCTTTTCAGGACAAATTATCGTATCACGACTAAACGTCTAACAACTGTCCTTTTCAGGACATATTATTCTTGTTTCACGACGAAAACGTTTAACAACTGTCCTTGTCAGGACATATTACCGTGTCTTACGACACGATGAAACTGTTCTTTTCAGAACACATCACTGTTTCAATACGACACGTTAATCAATCACCTACAAAATCAATGAGAGATATCAAATAGCATTATCTGGCGCTGGCGAGGATTTAAATATTTCGTATTGATAGGAATTAAAGTTCGGACCAATATGACAAAATAATAATGAATGAAGGTCGTTGCTGCGTTTTAAGCTACAGGGGTTTAATTCTAAAAAAATCGATACTAAATCACTTGCTCGTGTCTCTGGGGTCACTTGACCAGTGACCACTATACCATTTAGATAACGAAGAAAATCTATTCGGCAGATATCCAGGTCTCTGCATTAAGGAGGTAGACTGAAAATTAAATTTTTTAAGTGGCGGATTTACAAATTTTCAAGGTAGAGGCTGTTAGAGGCCAGTTCGCAGCCTCAAACCAGTAGTAGTAGTGACATGTATGGGTTGATAGGGGGAATAGGGAAATACATTTTCTGCAATTTCGCTCTTTTCACTTAGGGCGTTCAAGTATTACGTCAAGCAATTTTTAGAGATTATTGACCCCCACCGTTTTTCTGTAAAGTATTGTAAAACGTTTCGTGACCATCTAGTGACTCTTTATACCTAAAAGTTACCATTATAAATTACTAGAAAGTCGAAAATAATATTGACAATAACGCGTAATACAAGCCCCGCCCCGCATTGTTACAAAAGGACAAACCCCCCCTCCCCCTCAAAATTTGTACTTAATACTTGAACGCTCCCTTATGCAAACTGTGAGTGATTTCCAAATTCCAAAGTATCAAAAAAATAAATGTTATTGCGAAATTCGTCGTGTCTATGGACATGACATAAAACCTATTTATATCAAACCGAATAAAAAAATCTGTCTGGATCAAACTCACAATGACATCAACAACACGATGAAACAGTTATAAACAATTTTAGCTGAAATGCAGTGAAATTACAGTGAAATGGAAAATCATTAAATCATGGACCATTATTTGACGACATACCGAAAGGACTACCTCTGGCCTAATCTACCCGGTTCCGGAAGTGGGGGTGGCATTGTTGAGTAAGTATATACGAAGGCGATTTCACTGTAGTGTTTTTGTACGTGTTCTAAGTTTGCGATATCGCTACGCGTACAGGCTTCTTAGCCTTCTACTTATAACAAAAGAATAATGCTTTATAGAGAGGTTTTAAAAGAAAAATTCGTTTAAAGTGTTCTATACCACCCAATAGGTGAGTTTTTGTACCACGTGATTAGTTTAATTATGGATCACAATTTTTCTAGATCAAAGTTAAAATATCTTTTAATAACTAAATTAGGAGTACTGCGGTCTTGAACTTCGTTGTATATGCAACATATGAATTATCTCCTGGGAAAATTATCATTTTGAATATCTGTTTAAGATATCATAAACTCCATGGATTAACAAATCCGGACTTATCTAAGATCAGACGTTTAGTATTCCCAAAGTTAAAACGAATGACTTTGTTTGGTCAACGCTTTTTAGGGTCCCTTTATCATATTCCCCAATCTATGGATTCTGAGATACTCAAACTATACAGATACAAACACACAAATCACATCAAAATTACGCTAGCGGAATCGAATTTCGAATCTACAGAGGCCTTATTACGTATCATGGCATGACTTTGAGGTGCCAGTAACTAACACAGACAGCGCACACACACTCTTTCGCACACACTTATATTAACTTGTGTGTGATAGTCGTAACACTAAACCTACTTTTTCTCAAAAAACTGTTTTAAACATGTACCATGTACCACTGACTAATTGTTATATAGTTAACCACAACACGGGGCCTCTCTCGTGGGTACTAGCGATATATGATTTTGTTTGGTTGTGATTTTGTCACAACCTATTTGTGTAATAAAGTTTTTATTTATTTATACAAAAAATAACTTTGCTACCATTTGGGTACCACATATTTAGAATCGAACGCTTTTTATTTAAAATACATCAACAGTTTTGGACCATAACTTTCATATCTAAACAGGTACTTTGAGCTGTAAGGTATACCTAGCTGCTCTCACAGGCTCTCACAGCGTGCGCTTAAAAAGCCACATTATCTTCCGTGGAACTTTCACCAACAGAATCTCAGCACCCGAACCTTGAATATGCGAGTCACAGACTCACTTCAACAGCCTCAGCTAGGATGCGTCATAGATGCTGTCAAGAGATAAATGATGATGAACTAGCTCTAGGGGGCCGTTCAAGTAGTACATAAGCAGATTTACTGCAATTCATCCCCCCCCTTCCTCTTGTCAGCAAAAGTAAGCAAAGCTAACAATGTTTGGGTAATATGTGTTAATAAGTAACATTACTGTTGACGTAATCACTGAATAAGAAAATCTCCCCCCCACTATAGTGCTAACGTAATACTTGAACGGCCCATAGGTACTAAAATAAGATTCCCATGATGCTAGCATAAACATAATTTGTATATTATTAGATCCCCGAAGCTATCAGGTCAAGAATTAGCATTCTATCAAGCATGTATGCAACATACAAGACCGCCAGATTGCCGCTGCCCGCAGTATTCTGGAGAGGAAGTACAGCTGCCACCAGGGAAAGAGGGCGGTTGGAGTAGAAATGAGGTTTGTTGTCCATCTAACTCGCTTCATTTCTTTGACTTTATCTTACTCTATCTTCTTAATGGTATTAGCGTACCACTATTTTTAAGGCCGGCAACGCACTTGCAAACCTCCTGGTGTTGGTCCGTGTGCGTGGGCCTGCTGGTTTGCCTCCTGTCCCGTAAAACAGGTCTTCTGTACTTTATGTTTCTGTATGCGTATTAAACTTATTTGTTTAATATTTTGAAATAAAAATATTAAATGTGGTTGGGCCTATTAGCGATAGAGCCTCCAATTGAAACCAGTGAATTCTATGTGCAAAGTGAAAGTCAAAATCATTTATTCATTTAGGTAACACTATGTACACTTATGAACGTCAATAAAGAAATACATATTAAATGCTTACTACTTACTATACTGACATTAAATTCATTTATTGCCAGTTCTCAAATCAAGGGCGTAGGACGAAAAGAACTGGCATTAAACTATCCGCCACTCCAAGTTTGTTTTATACAATGTTTGTAAGGAGCTGTAACTATTACACCATGTTCCATATGACATGTTAAGTAATTAATAATAAAAAAATAACGAAGATTTGTCCTCTATCAGCAGTAGGAATGATGAAACAGGCGCACGCAAAGAAAGAAAATAAATACCATATTTAATTCAAAATTCGAATATACCTCAGTTCACCTTGCAAAGTTTCAAAACTTTTGCTTTGCCCTTCGAAAAATTGATCTCTTTGCGCCTGGTACGACTTCAACAGTCGTGTTTTAGATTTTGCGACGGTTTCAGTAATGCGCATAACATATTTATATTTTAATTTCCATAAGTAATACTATTAAGGTAATATTTGCAAATGGTTACAATGAAAGATGTGGAGGAAGTTTACATCTTCCAAAGCAAAGAGAGAATCAGTCACTGGCCTGAAGATTGTGACAGCAGCCACTGGGGTCTTCGGTGGGGCTTTTCAGTCTGTTGATAAGTCAAAGATCCTCTCTTTAGGTTGGCGGAAAATGCTCGCGTCACTCTCGTTCGTGGTGCTTCCCGTCCACGTCCAATTCGTATCAACTAAATTGCAATCACGATCGTGCCATCTATTATTTCCTCTTGTACATAGGAAGACATTGACATGTGTATTTCAGATAATGGGACCAATGTTGGATCCTAAACTGTACCCAGTACGAGTTGGAGCCAGCCCCGAGACCGCATCATCGCGATATGACCAACCCAACGCATTTTTGGACAAAGTATGTATACATTTTGCCATAAAATTAAATTCCAAACTTTCTTTGACAATCCCAAAAAAAGAAGCATGCGAACTAAACAAAATATGTATTTTCATATTTTTTCTAGAGAAAAAACTTTGCTTTGACAAAAGTTGTGCAATCATTTTGACTTAAATTTAGTTCGATAATAAATTTCGGCTAGTTGAGTTTCCTTCCTCAAATTCGTCATTAATGTACAGTGAGTATTAGTTGTATAATCTGTGTGTATTCTATGATGAATCAAGTCGTGTGTCCCATAATAACTTTAGATATTAATAATAGTTTAGAGTTAAACTTAGATGTAAGTACGTTCTATTTAAATTAGATTTTAATACTCTTGGGCCGTGGGGTTCAAGTGCACAGGCGCTATTTAAAGATTGAAGTTGGCGCCTGTCAGTACCTACCGGTGACCCCAGAGCTGGTGCTATCCTCGCTCAATAAGTATCGCAACACAGCGAAGAAATGCTGCCAGCGTGAAGTACACTGCCACAGCGACCGAACTTTCTAAAATTGTTTTAACTTTCTATTTATTAGTTTTTATTATCATTATTATTAGCGATATAAGGTAAAGAATATTGTAAATTCTGTATATATTGAAAATATAATATATTTTCCATAGTCATACATTCTACCACGTATTTTAATATGATTATGTATACTGAAGGAAAGTTCGCATGTCATTGGACGTATTTCAAGAGTATTTTAATTACAGTTGCAGTCAAAATACCCGATGCTGTATAGCATCTTACAAAACGAGGCATCACCAGAGCTGAAACAGAGGATAGATAGAGATAGAAATAAATCCACGTATCAAGTTGATTACTGCGAATCAGGTGGGTTACATTTGCGTATGAGTTTTTGCTCTCTACATGTCTTGCCGGCGTACCTAGATTTAGACTTTAGTGCCTAGGTTTTTGATACTTGTTCCATTGGGTTTCAATCTGGGTGGAAGAAAAGCTACCAAGGGCAAGGCCGTCTTAAACTAGGCTGGGGCCATTGGGCACACAAGAATTTGGGGCCTTTTGGAAAGTAAAAAAAGCTAATTATAATAAAAAAATTTTACTCAGTATGACTATTTATAGGCCATCAAATACAGTATGATATTAGAATACTGCTGGTTTTTTGGTTACGATTACAATAGCGATTTCTTTCGAGATTTCTGTTGAGTCTTCTATTATATCCTTATTAATTAGTACAGTAGGAATAGGCGTAATCGATATAATTGCGTAGTATATCCCTTGAAAATACCTTCTGATAACTTTTTTGATTACTGATTTGTGAAAAAAGTGTAATGTGCCCGACAAAAATGTTTTGAGAATAAATGTGGGAGAGAACTTGTCGTTCCTTCGGGGCCCCCTGACAATGGGGGCCCTGGGCACGGGCCCCGTGTGCCCTTATGGTGAGGACGGTATTGACCAAGGGAGTTCCCTTCATCCATCGTCGCAGTCAATGATTTACGTTTAAAAATATGATTAGAAAACAGGTAGAATGTTTCTTATACTATTTTGGACGTTCCAGGCCCGGGTGCGAAGTTCGAAGGATTGCAACGCGCCTCTGATGAAAGCGGTACCGGACCTTGTGCGCAGCCTATGAGGCTTCCAGGGGACCCTTGTCGAGTGGGTCCAAAGCCGAGGATGACCACACCGAAGACCATCTCCAAACAGGGTGGAGCAGGCGCCGATCCAAGGGCTAAATGCGGTAAGTTTGAAATGATTACCTCCCCAGTATTTTATGTGAAATGGCTTTCCTCAAAAAAGCTAAAACATCATAAAATTTATCTTAAATAAGGATGGATAGCTAGGAGCGCGACTCAACTCTGGTCTAGGCCAATAAGTTTTCCTTTCAAACATCGCGAGGAAACCGGCATACACAGAAATTTAGTAATTTAGTCGGAAAGTAGATATTCATTACAATGTGTAAGATTTGGGAACCGTTTTAATTAAACAATACCTATGTCAGTGTTCCCATCTATTCCGTAACAAAAATAATATAATTATATAAACCCATAATATAACAATAATTACAATTTTGATAACATGCGTGAGTGCATGAGTGAGTGTGTGGGTGCATGTGAGTGAATGAGTGAGTGTAATGTGTATGAATGTGTAACTACATGTCAGGTCTCAGTGTTATTAGTTGGTACTTGTGGTGACTGTCGAACTTGAATTCGTGTATGCGGTTAGTTATTTCGACTATGATTTGCGTGTTGTTCCCACGAGAATGTAAGAGCGGTCTCCTATTTCACCATGCCTCCTGCTGATAGAGAACAAATCTGTGTTTTTAATTTATTCTATTATTATTAATTACTTAAGATGTCATGTGGAACTTGGTGTAATGGTTGCAGCTCCTTACAAACATTGTGTAAAACAAAAAACTTGGCGATTAAAAAGAGTGGCGGAGAGTTTATTGCCAGTTCTTCTCTTCCGTTCTACGCCCTTGATTTAAGAACTGGCAGTAAATGTAATTTTAGAAGCATTTCCTATAATATATTTATTATTTAGACCCTTTCTATAGCTTTACAAAAACCGCTTTCGCTTCGTATATAAAACATAGGAGTTTCGGTTTGACCGCTTCATCGTTGTTAGACAAACTGATTAAATTTTTTGGAAAGGAATTCTTTTATTCTGGAATATATTGGCTATCAGGAAGACTATTATAGATAGTATGTCTTGTTTAAATTAAGTATATTAATGTATTTTAAATATAATTAATTATTTCAGAAACAACGTCTGCCGTCCCGCCCCTCGGCAAGACAGAATATCAAGACAATGTATCCAAGTTGGGCGGGATCATTATGAGAGATAAATTACACAGAAAATAAATTATAAAAACTTTTTGCATTTTTAATAAAACATATATCTTGGCAGATAAGGGTTAGACCCTCCTGTTTATATAGATTGTAGGTACCTACATTGTTTCCAGCAGGGTATACCACCATGGGGCATACCACCATCTCATTTTACCCTTCCTGAAGAACGCGCGCGACCAAAACTCACCGATATCCAGATTCAGCGATCTGATAAACGAGATAGGCCTGGATATTATCCTAAGTCGGGGGGACCACGCTAAGTCAATTCAACGCATCTAGCATGAGTGTCCATGGGCGGCGGTATCACTTAACATCAGGTGAGCCTCCTGCCCGTTTGCCCACTTTAAAAAAACAGTTTGTTTAATTCTTTTCTTTTCGTATTTGTTATGCACTTAAGTGCTAGGCACAGTAAATATTGTATTATTGTTCTTGTAGCAAGGCTTTTATAAATAAATAAATAACTTATTAGGGTCTAATAATAACACACATGATAAATAGTCGTTTATGTATAAAATCAAAGTATACAGTATGTCATGCGGGCCGAGTCTGTGCACTCGAGATCAATTCTCCCCGCTTGTACAGCATTGTCCCCTCTCTCCTCTCGTCTTTGACTAGATCTCTCCTGATCTGTTCATCCCTTCTGACTAGATCGTTTTTCACTTGTTCTTCTTTTTTTATGGTCTGGTCGTTCCGGACGACTTCTTCCCGCCGTATTTCGCGAGATATTCTTGTGGCTCGAGAGACTGTTGTCTCATCGTGTTGTCTCACTATGACTGCGCGCGCATCTGACGTGTTTCGTTCCCTGAAATCAGAATAGTTTATAAAACAATTTATTTATTTATTTATTACAGAAATACATACATTATCCTTACATACTATGCCAATGCGATAATGTCGAGAAACAATAAAATACAATAAAGTAGGTACATATACAATATTAAACACATAATATACACAATATCGCTACTGTGAATTCACTCTGTAAACATATAAATATGTCGATAGCGTCGAAGACAGCATTCAGTAGGCGCAACGTCTTCGATAACGGGGATCTGTGCAACAGACTTGCCCTTGGTATCGCAAATAACCTAGGCCTTCGCCGTCGCACATATCCCATAGGTACTAAGAAACCCAGTTCTTGGAGTACACTTGGGTTGCACACTACCCCTCAAGACTTTCAGTACGTAGTATATACAAGATATAATATGTGATAATCTTTATAGTTTGTTCTCAATATGTTTTAATAAGGTACTGTTCTCCAATCTTCTTTAGATCATGTACATCCTGATATACGTGTTCAGCTGTACATCATGATACATGTAATTATTATGTACATCATGATACACGTTTTCAACTATACATCATGATACATGTAATTATTATGTACATCATGATACACGTTTTCAACTATACATCATGATACATGTAATTATTATGTACATCATGATACACGTTTTCAACTATACATCATGATACATGTAATTATTATGTACATCATGATACACGTTTTCAACTATACATCATGATACATGTAATTATTATGTACATCATGATACACGTTTTCAACTATACATCATGATACATGTTATTATTATGTACATCATGATACACGTTTTCAACTATACATCATGATACATGTAATTATTATGTACATCATGATACACGTTTTCAACTATACATCATGATACATGTAATTATTATGTACATCATGATACACGTTTTCAACTATACATCATGATACATGTAATTATTATGTACATCATGATACACGTTTTCAACTATACATCATGATACATGTAATTATTATGTACATCATGATACACGTTTTCAACTATACATCATGATACATGTAATTATTATGTACATCATGATACACGTTTTCAACTATACATCATGATACATGTAATTATTATGTACATCATGATACACGTTTTCAACTATACATCATGATACATGTTATTATTATGTACATCATGATACACGTTTTCAACTATACATCATGATACATGTAATTATTATGTACATCATGATACACGTTTTCAACTATACATCATGATACATGTAATTATTATGTACATCATGATACACGTTTTCAACTATACATCATGATACATGTAATTATTATGTACATCATGATACACGTTTTCAACTATACATCATGATACATGTAATTATTATGTACATCATGATACACGTTTTCAACTATACATCATGATACATGTTATTATTATGTACATCATGATACACGTTTTCAACTATACATCATGATACATGTAATTATTATGTACATCATGATACACGTTTTCAACTATACATCATGATACATGTAATTATTATGTACATCATGATACACGTTTTCAACTATACATCATGATACATGTAATTATTATGTACATCATGATACACGTTTTCAACTATACATCATGATACATGTAATTATTATGTACATCATGATACACGTTTTCAACTATACATCATGATACATGTTATTATTATGTACATCATGATACACGTTTTCAACTATACATCATGATACATGTAATTATTATGTACATCATGATACACGTTTTCAACTATACATCATGATACATGTAATTATTATGTACATCATGATACACGTTTTCAACTATACATCATGATACATGTAATTATTATGTACATCATGATACACGTTTTCAACTATACATCATGATACATGTAATTATTATGTACATCATGATACACGTTTTCAACTATACATCATGATACATGTTATTATTATGTACATCATGATACACGTTTTCAACTATACATCATGATACATGTAATTATTATGTACATCATGATACACGTTTTCAACTATACATCATGATACATGTAATTATTATGTACATCATGATACACGTTTTCAACTATACATCATGATACATGTAATTATTATGTACATCATGATACACGTTTTCAACTATACATCATGATACATGTAATTATTATGTACATCATGATACACGTTTTCAACTATACATCATGATACATGTTATTATTATGTACATCATGATACACGTTTTCAACTATACATCATGATACATGTAATTATTATGTACATCATGATACACGTTTTCAACTATACATCATGATACATGTAATTATTATGTACATCATGATACACGTTTTCAACTATACATCATGATACATGTAATTATTATGTACATCATGATACACGTTTTCAACTATACATCATGATACATGTAATTATTATGTACATCATGATACACGTTTTCAACTATACATCATGATACATGTTATTATTATGTACATCATGATACACGTTTTCAACTATACATCATGATACATGTAATTATTATGTACATCATGATACACGTTTTCAACTATACATCATGATACATGTAATTATTATGTACATCATGATACACGTTTTCAACTATACATCATGATACATGTAATTATTATGTACATCATGATACACGTTTTCAACTATACATCATGATACATGTTATTATTATGTACATCATGATACACGTTTTCAACTATACATCATGATACATGTAATTATTATGTACATCATGATACACGTTTTCAACTATACATCATGATACATGTTATTATTATGTACATCATGATACACGTTTTCAACTATACATCATGATACATGTAATTATTATGTAGGGGAAGATCGTTACCCTTCGTACGCGGGGCACATTCATACAGTCAAAATAAAACTTGAACGAAATAAAGTACAGTCTTGCTTTTGTATGTGTGCATGAGTCGAGGTACCAACTATACATCAACGAAGTTTCGTGAAATTCGCACCGATGAGAGTGAAGTTACAGGCATAGACGTGTTTTCGCGCTCGGTAAGTAATTTTTGATCTATGTTTTTATCTCTTGTTACCGTAGATAAAATAAGTTTTCGTGTAGAGTATTCTATCAGTAACTAGCAAAATATACTTAAGATACGTCTCCAATACTTAATTTATGACGTTTTCCTATTAATATTAAAATAAGTTATATTTTGTTGTTATTCAGTTAGTGGGGTACATTCGGACAGCACTAGATGGGGCACATTTGTACGAATTGTACAACTAAATTTGTATAATAATTTGTCGACGCGAACTGTCTTTTTTCATACAAATTAAGTTTTCGACTTTCTACATATTACACTACTGTTAAGGCATCTTGACTAAGGTTGATTTTGATGCTTGTGAACCAGATGCTGTGAATAATTTACCAATCCATCAAATAGTAGTTCCTTCGAAGTCAGTTTTGACACCAGAGGCATTTCGACCCTATTCGCATTCTGTAAGAAGTAATAAAACAAGCAAAATGACGATGACGGCCAGGAAAACCACGAATTTATACTGCCACACCCGAAAATAAGAAGTTGTAATCCACACCAAAGAGTAAAAAATGTAATTCTAAATTTAAGATACCTAACTAATTAAATTTTGTTTTACATAAGAAAAGTATTTTATTTTTGTTTAATAGAAATTAAATCTTTATTTTTGTGTTTAATTTCATTGCTAATAAATGAATTTTGAACTACCCCACAGCGTAAGAAGGTACCCCAAACACTGTACGAAGGTGCCCCGTTGATGGGGCAGATTCGTACGTTTTCCAGATTTAGTTTAAATCATAATTATGGTTGAAACATCGGATGAAATCATTTGTCATTTTTTTATTTGAATCTCAGATAGTTAGACTATAAATTTAAGCTATCAGGTGATTGATTCATGGAAAAATAAAAAAATTAAAAAATAAAATGTGAAAACCGTACGAAGGGTCCCCACCTTCCCCTACATCATGATACACGTTTTCAACTATACATCATGATACATGTAATTATTATGTACATCATGATACACGTTTTCAACTATACATCATGATACATGTAATTATTATGTACATCATGATACACGTTTTCAACTATACATCATGATACATGTAATTATTATGTACATCATGATACACGTTTTCAACTATACATCATGATACATGTAATTACCATGTACATCTTGATACACGTGTTCACCTGTACATCATGATGCATGTGATCACATTTGATGAAACTTGGTGTGTTCTCACCGTCCAAGAGTTACGAGTCTCTCGATATCATTTCTTCGTTCGGGCGCGCGTGGGGGCGGACTGGCCGGCGGTGATGAGGTATTCGACGCCGAGGCGGGCGAGGCTGGTGATGAACCGACTGCGGAGTCCCGTTTAGCTGACGACGACGACCCAGAGGTGGATCTGCGGCGCGGACGCATGGCTGGGATGTGGAGTGATGCTGTGATCACACATTCGTCCTCTGAACACGCGCCAGTCTGGAATTTTATTTATTCATGTTTAGATTTTTTAAATTAATTTAAGACAAATTTAAGAATTTAAAATCCCTCCCAACTGATCATAATTAAAACAAAAAAGTGCGTGCGTACCAAGTACACATGTCAGAAGTGAAACTTTTTTGGCAAACTAATTTTTATACAAATCTAAAACTTTGTATAAATATGAACAAGACTTAGAGGGAGGGATAAGAAATAAGTTAAAAGTGTCGAATTAATACAAATAATATTTATTTTATTTATTTATTAACACTTCGTTGCATATACATTAATATAGTACAATTGACATAATTAAATAAAAAGGAGAGCAACTGGCGGCTTTATCGCTTTCGAGCGATCTCTTCCAGGCAACCAATATATATATTTTTTTAATTTATTTCTTCGATAATAAAAACACGTGGCTTTTTAATTTAAAATTCGTCATTTGAGATTTCAACAAATTATTTTGCATAAAATATAAAATACTAATATTTCATAAATTCTCTTTACGAAATTTTAATTTTAAAAATATAATTTCTTTAAGGTAAATCGCCCTTCTCACTCTCTCTCAATCGCTCTCTTCCTTTTCTTCCACAAAAACGCTGCACATCTTCGTGACGTTTTTAAAAAAAATTACCCTCATGCGCCTAATGAAGTTAGGCGAAGAAAACTTCATAAAAATAAAAAGAGATCTACCTCATTATAATCACTGGCCGAGTCGTTGGAGTCTGGAGCTGAATCTCTTAAAGGTGGAGAACAGATCACTCCGCTACTCGTGCATTCCTCACTGCTTCGGACCCTGTCAGGGACGAATATTACCATATTTAATGAGTCATCATTTAGAACTAGAAAATTAAATTAGAGTTAAATTACTTTGACTTAGGTTTGGTTAGTGCCTTTTCCCGGCCCGGGTCCCTTGTGTAGATTGCCTAACGAACCCCGAGGGCCCATATTAACACACAGTCCCCGCGTCAAGCTCGACATCCTTAATGCGGGCCTGCGTAAGCGCATTTTCACCTTATATAAAAAAAAAGTACCTTTTCCCAACAATAAAAAATGTGTTACCTAACCTTTTTTGTGCAATCCCCTATGCTACATAATTTTTAAAATTAAAAAGTGAACAATCGACTTAATAATAATAAAAACCGGATTAATTTTCAATAATTACAAAAAAACAGCAAAGATTTTTACATTTTAAAATTTTTTTTACTTGTTATCCTATATATTCTATATCCTTGCTACAAATAACAATTCACTTAAGGAACTTTAATGATAAGTTTTAGGAAATTGCCCCCCCTTAACAATCACATTGGCCCCCCAGTGGGACATATGCCCTACGTTGGAGAACAATGTTCGGATAATGTACCTAATAAACAAATAACTATGGCTGCTCTTACAAGTTGTATGACTCAAAACTTAGCAATTAAAAAGAGTGGCAGAGAGTTTTTTCCCAGTTCTTCTTGCTTCTACGCCCTTGACTTGCGAACTGGTATTAAATCTAAATTTACAATTAAACTTCTTTTCTGACGTTCATAAGGGTACTTGTTTACCTATATGTTATTTTGAGTTTGAGTAACAAAATTTTAAACAAAAACAGCGTACTTTTATATTTCTTATATTATATATGTATGTATTCAAAAAGTCAAAATCATTTATTCATATAGGTAACACAATGTATAGTTATGAAGGTCAAAAAAGAAATATACATTAAATGCTTCTAATTTTACATTTACTGCCAGTTCTCAAATCAAGGGCGTAGAACGGAAGAGAAGAACTGACCAATTGTTTTGTATATAAGTTAATAGTTTGTTACATAAATTAGCCCTTATACATAAATGGTTATAATGAGTTGTCTACGGTTAATATTTAGCCAGAATTTCTATACGTAAGTAGAAATGCATACCGTGTAACAATCGTCATAGCAGAAGAAAGAGAACCAGACGACGTGTCGGAGGCAGCGTCTCTTGTTCGCGTCCGTCGAGCCGGGACGTTGTTCCTGAAATAATCAACAGATATTATTGTCTGGTATCTGTTTAATTAGGGCAGGATCGATTCATGGTACACCCACCACACACAGCACACGGCCCTAAAGCTTAGGTTTCCTAGAAAAGCGGTGCCGATATCTAACGGCCGTAATATAGCGTTGGGTTACTTCACCCATACGTTGTCTATAAATAACATCGGAGTAAGTTTCCTAGAAAACGTTGAGTGTCACCGTAACGTCAAATAGCGGTGCTGTTACTTGCATGACGGCCGTCATAGCGGTGATAAACATTAGTTCAACGTTTTTCGCGTGAAGCGGTGCCCATATTTAATTAAGACAATGAGTGGAAACGTGACTTGGACGAGCGATCATGATAGTTTTTTTGAATGTTAAAAAGTAAAGACGGCCGGTATTAACAACCGTAAAATGATGGCCGTTAGTCTAACTGAACACAGTATTTATGGGTCAATGGGTAATCTTCGATTTTTTGAAGAGAAACTTCTTTAGGTGCATGAGGGTAAAATTTAAAAAAAAAAAACGTCACGAAGATTTGCAGCGGTTTTGTCGAAAAAAATGGAAAGAGCAATTGAGACCGAATGAGAGAGAGTGAGAGGGGCGAATAACCTTAAAGATATTCTATTTTTAAAATTAACATTTCGTAAAAATAATTTATGAAATTATTATTTCATATTAGTATTTTATATTTTATGGAAAATATTTTATTGAAATCCATCCAATGCTAGTCAGCTTGACGACATTACATATACAAAAAAAATATGTGTGTGTGTAATGAAGTTATACTTGTTTGGCGTAATAACTTTTTTCGAGCACTTTAGACGGAGATTTTTCTTGTCAAATTTAATGGTCACTTCCAATCGAAACGATATAATATGTACTAATCATGATATTTTACAATTAACACTATGTTTTTATCCCATTGCAACGGGTTTTGTCGTATAGAAATCATTATTTAGGTTTTAATAAACACCACTCTTAAAACACTACGCCATGACACACAATGCAACTTGTCGATAAAACAGAGCAAGCGCCAACTAGCGGCCCAGACTGTTTTACCGACGTTTGAACAGATATTCAGGGTGTCGGTTTTTTGTGACGGTGTGCGCATCGTAAAAATTTACTCTCATCATTTTTCACTAACGCGCCAAAAGAAGTATAACTTAAAAAATTGGGATTAAAAAAAAAAATTGCTTACATATTACTAGAAGGCAAAGGCTGCGTGGTAGCAGTCGCTGTAGCGGCGTGCAAGAAGTGGTCTCGAGCCCACACTCGCCGCACACCACTCTCCGAATTCGCGTTGGCCTCCGCTGTTCTATGGATATCCAGTCTTATACAATTACCATCTCCATGCAAATGCCATCACAAAGAACTTGTAAAAAAAACGTGTGGCACTTGGGGACTGCCGCGGTAAAGCTATTGCATAGCATTTTTTATCAACTTATGCAGTTATAATCATTTATTTATTTTTTAATTTATGCAGTAGGTATTTGTTTTTCTTTGATATTAATTCAAGTTTTTTCTTTGATATTATTTCAATCTACCACTCTACCAGACTCAGACTAAAACGCCTATATAGTCTGTCTCACTCTAACGCGTACCAGATGCACCGGCCGCGCTCACACTACGTCACCGTGTGTTAGGTTATTTTCGTTACGGAATTTCTCCCTCGGTTACAGTTTTGCCTTGTCTTGGATACCATTCTCCAATATCTTTAGGCCATTTACCTGTATTAAATTTTATCGTATGTCCATCGCCATTTTTATTGTTTCACACTGAATCTATATTTTCTGGTTTCGTCCTATTTCTTATCTAGTTTAGTCTTATCTTTAGATTTCTTATAGTGACCAAATCTATATTAATCACAGCGATGACGTCATAATTTAAAACGCGGTATCGAAGTATTTCCAACTAGGCATATATACCTACACCTTCTGGACCTTAGCCAGAGGGCTCGCAAGTGCGTTGCCGGCCTTTTAAGAATTGGTACGCTCTTTTTTAGAAGGACCCTAAGTCGTAATGCCGAGGATTCGTGAGTGCGATGTCGTCCTATTAAGAATTGGTACGCTCTTTAAAGGATCCTAAGTTGTAATGGTTCGGACTTCGGATATACCTACCGCCCGTGGAGTATGGACACTCTAAATGCAAGAGGATTCGGCATTCGTGAGTCCGTTGCCGTCCTTTTAAAAATTGGTACGGTCTTTTCTAGCAGGACCCTAAGTCTAAATTCCAATGGATTCGTGAGTTCGATGTCGACCTATTAAGAATTGGTACGCTCTTTGAAGGACCTAGAGTCGATATGGCCCGGAAATACCTAAAGCCCATGGACACTAAACGCAGGGGGGCTCGCGAGTGCGTTGCCGGCCTTTTAAGGATTTGTACGCCTTACCAGTCAAATTGGTTCGGAGATACTTAATTAATATTACTTATACAGTAAAAGTTGCATTAGGCTTACAAAAGATGGATACATTATAAATCTGAATTTTAATTATGTAAAAAATTGTTATTTATAATTATTTATTAACACTTCGTTGCATATACATTAATATAGTACAATTGACATAATTAAATAAAAAGGAGAGCAACTGGCGGCCTTATCGCTTTCGAGCGATCTCTTCCAGGCAACCACTGCGAGAAAAGAAATGTATTAAATTACATAAGGTAGACAAGAAGTGCAAAAATACATGTATTACATATAGTTGTTCAGAAAAAGATTCTAAACTAATTATGTTAATATAAATAGTTGAAAAGATACTAACTCGGCTCTCCGAAGCAATAAGGAATCAAGGTGGGCAGGCTGCGTATGCGCAAGGTGAATGTAAGCTTCGTGAAGGAGCTCAGCCGGAAGTGTCCACAGTTCTGTCTGCCGCTCAACTAGTTGTCGGACCACGTTGATCACATCTGTTCTCTCCGCTAGCTCTTCCGCGCTGGAATATGTAAAATCTTATGAAATATTTACTTCTTTCATAAAAACCTAAAGATTTTAATTAGTAAAAAATCATTCGTATAAAGTTAAAAAAAATTAAAGGCCGGCAACGCACTTGCGAGCCCTCTGGCAATGTGTCTGTGGGCGACGGTAACGTTATATAATAACCCCGTTATATTATAAAAAACGAAATCAGTGTATTTGCACTGTAGTCTTGTCTCTTTCTGTCAAATTGTGTTAACAACGTGCTGAAACGAAACAGGTGATTGCTTTATAAGAACTGTGTACTAAAGGAATTCTGTCGAGAACAAAATCTGTAAGTGATTAACAGCAGGGCTACTCTATAAAGTCAATACAAACAATGAACTAAACCAATAATAGGCTGGAAATTGCCGAATTATTAAATAATGTCGGGTTCTAACTAGCATTTACATATATTGTAAATTTCGGTTGCCATGGTAACGCATACTTGGAGTATGAAAACTCAAAATTACAACAGTGAAGAATGGGAATAGTTTTTATTCTCTACTAAGTTTAAAGAGGTGCCAAGTCAAGTCAAGTCAAATTATTTAATTCAATTCGACCACCTAAAATGGCACTTTTGAACATCAAATAAAATATAAAGATGATTCTAGTTGCCCCTTCTAAAAGGTAGCTTCGTGTGGAGAAGAATGGGCAAGAAACTCCACACTTACTTGCCAAAAATAACTAAAGACTTTTAAATAAAATAATAATCCAATACCATTGGCCACAGACTGCATCTTTTTGTAAGCATGTTCTTTTAGATCCCATTTACTTCTGTTATATATTAATTTATCATCCATTTCATTTGTAAATTATATTTATTATTATTTTTATATATTGTGTGTACCTTGCGCATTCATTTGGCTTATTTTTATGTAGAATATTGGGTGCGAAAATAGTGGCAATGTTTGCAGCATCCATCTTGTTCCCCGGCTGGTGATCATCCACAGAGTGTGATGCCAGTTGTGACAGGAAGGAGAGCAGAGCATTCAATGTATCCCTGTGAGCTGCTGGTAATAGCTGGACTATGTACCTTAGCGCTTCCCATTGCAAGGACCTATTGTGGATTTCTGAAAATAAACAGTGTTTTCTATATAACTTTAATAATGATTTTGTTGTTGAATGTTTTTGTTGTTCTCACTAAAGGCTCCCACACAAAACTGCGAATTCGCATCGCATCGCAAATATCTGCGAATTCGCACGAACGCAACGCAAAAATTTCCGATCTGCTTCGCATCGCACATTCCTGCGATATTACGTCATCCTTGGTGACACGATTTTAGTCCGCTCTGAGACAGCTTTAGAGAAAAATGGCGGAATATGAATTAGATTTTTTAATATCTTTAATTGAGGAGCGTCCCGTCCTAAGTCAGCCAATAATCAAACAGGCCAGAGAGCCAGTAGAAGTCAGAGGATAGGAAAATAATGATTTGTATAACAACAAGTAAAAACTTCAGCAACGGTCTTGACTGTTAAATTAATAAAATATATAGATGTATTTACTAGTAAGATTTATCAAACAAAAAGTAATAAGTTTTGACATATTAATCCCTAAAAAAAAAGTTTTTTCAATTAATAATTTTAATTACCATACTCTAAACTCATGTTTGTGAAACGTTAATCAAAACATTATAACCATGTTCACATCTGAAGGACTGCAATGCACTTGCAAGCCTGTGTTAAGCGTTATTGTAAAATCACTTAATAACTGATCCACCTAAATCCCAGCCTTGTTTATGTTTTGTAATGGATGGTAACGGATAAAAAGCTTTGTGAAATAGTTAGTTTCTTAATTTTCACAAAGCTTCTTTTTATCTATATATTTTATTTTTTGTTTATGAGAATTTGTCTAACAACTTATTGATTAATTTGTGTAGTATACTTTATTTATTTATCATATAACCAAATTCTAATTATGTAACTATACCTTAATATTGCAAAAGTAAAAGAAGAGATAGAGAAAGTAACCTTCACTCACTCTGAGTCTGCAAGAACGCACAGTAGAGATCTCTACATAGCAATGGATCTGGCAGGTCTCTTAGGAACTCTTTAAGTAGTGTTGCCACATCATGAGGCAGGGCATCGTCAAGGGCACATTCCTGGCCCCTCTCCCACTCTTCCCGTAACTGAAACATCATTTACTAGATTATTGTAACCATAACTGTGAATATGATGACTTAATTTTGTTTTAAATTATTTTTATTGTAAATAAGTTTTGTAATAACTTAAAGACAATTTGTCTTAGGATCAATTAAAATGTTTTTTGTTGTTGAAGTGTTTTTTATTATTTATTAAGATTGTTTCACTTTTTAATTTTAAATTTCTATAAATCTATCTACATAATTATCGTTCTCCTAAAATATTTAAGAAAACTTATACTTATATGAAAGTTTAGTGACTAAATCAAACATAATTCTTAAAATCTTTGGCAGATATTTTGAATAATTGTTGAAAATGGTTCGTTGAATTACTTTCAAAACAATTAATGTCAAGACGACACCGCACTGAAAGATAAAGTTATAAAATATGTTAAATCAAGTATACAAATTACAAAAACGCCTTTTTTAGACATAAAGCGGAAAACCATGGTGGAAACTCAGACCTCACTGCCACCTATTCATTTGACTACTTTTGTATGTAGTTTATCATTGCCAAGTGCCAACCTTGTATTAAGGTTTTACAATAAATGAGATGACACTAGGGATGCGAAAAAAAAAAAAAAAGGGTGCGTACTTAGATGCACTATCTTTGGCATTATTAAAAATAGTTTTTGATTGCATGCAAATAATTAATTACAATTAAATAATCAAAGACTGGAAAAGGAGTCATTAAAGTCAATAAAGTTCAGTTTACATTTGAAAAATTAATTAAATAATATTTATTATTATTCTCTTAATTAAACAAATAAAACATATTTATCTTTAAAACATTTTTATTTCATTATACTATTTATTTTTAAGTGACTCTAATGTCTTCATCAGAATTTCGGTTTGTAATTTTAAATTAATCATTACGTTGAAAATCTAACGAGGCCTCTCCAAAACTACTTGCTTTCTGCAACAAATAAGAGAATATTAATTTAAGCTCTGTCCATGCAAAACTTAAAATTTTATAATTCATATTATAAATTTTTAACACATTTATATTAATATAATTATATAAATGTGTTAATAATATAATTTGAGCACATGCTACAGACCTGGATAGTAACTTTCTTTTATTCTATTAGAGATAGAGATAATTTAAATATAATACGGTGTCTTCCTTGTAGGTTTCTTTGGAGTTGTTTGGGGATTCTTGTTGTTCAGTTCAACATATTTTCTTTAACCTTTCTTTAATCCTACAAAATAATGAAATTGTTAAGTTATGTTGTCACTGTTGTGCACACCTTTGTTTGGCTTTTTTAGTATTCAAGTTATGTCAAAACTGATGTATTACCCTTGTCATTGTTGGCTTTATTTGCTTTTGGGATATCAATTGTTTCCAAAATGATTTTATTTAGAACCTAATAACCCTGAAATATATAAATAACATCTATTAATTTTAAGTATCATAGGTGAGTGGTTCGCCACTCAGGTAATTAAGGTGTATTTTACCCACTGTCCATTAGAGGCCCCCCCCCCCCCCCCCCCCCCCCTTTTTTTTAAGTGGGGGGGGGCCCCCTCCCCGCCGGGGGGGGTTCTCCCCCCTACAAAAACTGCCAAGTGTTTCTGAGGTATTACAATATCTATAACTACCCTTACTAACACCAGTATAAAGGTAATGTTGTAAGCATATGCCTATGCTTGAAAGGTTGAACCTTGAACATCACCATACATCATATTTATAATTAACATTCCTACCTCGACACCATCACAATCAAATTCATTGAAATCTACTTCAAACATTGTGTCTCGAGAAGGTGATGGTGGCTTTGTTCCACCTCCCCAGTTTTTGATGTTTCCACGGCGATAAGATGACAACTCTTTTTTTATTCAATTTAGTGCACTTCCACTGATTCATCAATTGTTTTTTGTCTCTTGTCCTTATATTTGCTAGATTAAATCTGATGTTTTGATTAAATAATGTGGTCATTTTTTTGAGATGCAGATGCAAGTACTTATTAAAATGTTTACTTCTCTGTTATATCGCTCCAAGCCTTCATTTTCCCCCTTATTAGTATTCGTGCTGTAAATCTTTTGTTCTCAATTATTGATATATAGGGTCGTAGAAAATTTCTAAAAAGTTCCTGTAAAAACCCCAATAACAAAAGCAATGAATAATGGTTCATGTTTCAGTTTTAATCAACAATAATACTCGAAAAAAAAACGGGAAGGTTACCCCCATTTGTTTTGAAACCCCCCCTCAGGAAGGTTAGCACAGTTTTTTCACAAATATTTTATATTATTTCACAAATATTTTGTATAATAAAAATAACTAGGTATATAATTATTAATTTTAAAAATAATTAAAACCCTATATTTGTTTAAAGAAAATGTCATTGTCAGATGTAAATTGTCATGGTCACTTCAAAATTCTTGTTAAGCTGCTAAGCTAGAAGATGCGATGAAGTTAGCTTCACGCATATTCTATTTCTTTACTTGTAGTTTGTCTTATTCCCATCTCGCCCTCGCGCACGCATATCACACTGCCAATTTTGTGTCCATAGGTGCGCGCGCAACCTAAATTTCACTCCAAAATAATTTATTAGTAAAAATCGATTTTTGTACGCGATTTTTATATTTAAAATAATCGATTAATAATCGATTATTTTTATAATTGAAAATCAATCATAGTCGATTTTTTATCTGCCACCTCCCGACATTATGTCTGGTCTTTTATAACCCGGACCTCGAACTATTAGGGATATTCGATATACATCGATGTTTACAATGCGATACATTGAATCCGATGCTTTGAAGATGTATTGATATACTAGATGATGTTTGCATTGCATTGCATGCATTGATGTTTTTTTGTAAAACATCGAAAGGATGATAAAACCAGTTGATTTTACAAAAACTCAAGTTTCTGGAACACTATAATTTAAAAGTAAAATTAATTTACTCAGCAGCACAAGATTACATACAATTAAAAAGACAACAAAAATACTGCAATGTGCTACTGAAAAGGCATACACTCAGCATTTATCAAATTTCACCTAAAATCTATCAAAACGAGATTAAGTTAATTTCGATTTTGATTATTCTTAAACGTTAATTTGTGTTTATAGTTTCTATTGTTTATTTTTAATTAAAAAAAAAACCATGAAAAATTAAATATTTAGGGTGTTTATTTTGAAATTAATTCATAATTTGGAAAAAACCGATTAATAAAAAAATCGATTATTTATTAATCGATTTTTCATTCTAAAAAAAATAATCGATAAATAAAAAATCGATTTTTTATGCAGAATGTCACATCCCTAGATGACATTGATGTATCATATTACCGGTAAGCATAGATGGCGTTTGTTCCTATTAGTTCATTATTGAGCACAGACTATAGTCTGTACTGCTAAACCGCAATAGTAAATAAATAAAATCTATTTTGAGTTTTTGTTTTTAGATTTCATATCAGGATGTTTTATTCACTCTTGTTAACAATTCAGTCATTAAATATTACTTTATTTTTTATATTCGTTTAAGATCGTTTAGTTAATCTTAATTAAGTTATGGACTGCCCACTGAAGTATTTCCGAACCAATTCGACTTAGGGTCCTTCAAAAAAAGAGCGTACCAATTCTTAAAAGGCCGGCAACGCACTGGCGAGCCCTCTGGCATTGAGAGTGTCCATGGGCGGCGGTATCACTTAACATCAGATGAGCCTCCTGCCCGTTTGCCCCCCGTTCTATAAAAAAAAAATGGAATACGCTCCCCGATTCCATACGATTGGCTACCTTCCTAATCCCTTTTAAAATTCTTCTACATAAACACTTCGAAGCCTATATCCTATTCAGCGTAATCGTGACTTTTGTGATTCATGTAATTCTTATTATTTTTATTGCATTGTAATTAACCGTGAATATTTCTTTTTTTTTAAGTTTTTTCCTTACTAGGGTTGCCTGCAAGAGACTGCTTGTTATCGATAAGACAGCCCGTTGCATCCTTAATAATTTATGTTATTTACTTTTCTATTAATGAAGCTTAAATAAATACGTTCTTACACACAATGGCGCGTTTCGTTTGTGATTGGTCATCGATATCTAATCATAGACCCGCTAGACTTCGTCTCGTTCTTGTTAGCAAGAATGTTGCTACTTTGAAGTTCCCTGACGTCTTAAGGGTGCGTCCACATCTGGCAAATATCGCGGCATATTCGCCAGATGTGGACGCACCCTAACAGAGTTAAATTAAGATAACGTATATTTCTGTTAAGTCATATTTACAATTATTTAAATTACATTAAATAAGTATTATTTTAATGTTTTGTGAATTATTAAATAAGTAAACCAGTGGCACTGCTTCTTATAGTCTTATGTGCCTGACACACATCCTCGATTTTTGGGTCAAAGTCAAGCTGGTTTTCTTACTACCTTTTCTTTCACTGGACGAGAATTTATTCAAAGACAATTATTGTAAAAGAAGGTGCTGCCCTTCCTCCAACCTAAAGGAAGGAGCCTCAAGTCTGATCTCTAATTGGCCTGAAGGCCCCAGTTAGCTAAGTCCCAGTGGCTAAAATTGATAAGTTGTATATTGTCTCAGTGGTCGGAACATTTCTTGCCAGTTCTTGCACGCTCTAAATTTACAATTAATTTAACTTCTTTTTTGACGTTAATTAGTGTACTTGTTCACCTATATGAATAAAGTTATTTTGAGTTTGAATTTCTCGTAGTCATAGGATAGATTGTAGTCGTAGGAATAGATTATACCTATACTGGAGGAACCTTTTTAACAGTTACTGCTTTTGTAGTTTAATATACGGATTTTTGCATCGCGGATTGCAGTGCGGTCACACACTATGCGCTGGGCAGGTGCCAGGCGTAAGATGGAGTGTCTGCCCACACTGAACAGTCATCGCTTTAGTATTACCATATTTTTACTTACATTGCTTTTTTGCATGGCTTATATTATGGATGGAGGTGACTTAATAATTTTCAGACAGTTTTTATATTAAGATCTTTTGTAATATTATAAAGAAATTGGCCTTGCGCTTCTGAAACTCACTTTTCCAACTCTCACAGCGGATTCCGATCTCAAATCACTCGTGACGGTGCCATTTAAAATAGACACGACGAAAATTTAAACAATTCACTCGTGGTAGAAGTGAAACCTTAAACAAATTTTTGATGTGAAACATCTAAAGCCGCACGTAAAACCGATTTCTGGCGTGGCGACGCATGCCGTGGCGACGCCCCTCTATATGATGGTATATATATACAGTCTATATGCATTAGTGTGTACGGTGTGTGTATTTCAAAGTCACTGATTAAACGAATTAAGTAGTCACGATTTGAAATAAATTCGTAAATTTTTGTATTTAATGAAAATAAATGTTTATTCAATAAATAGTCATCGTTATCTGGAAAAAAATCGTAATATTTTATTTTATCATTATGACATATTTAGTTCCTATCACAATCTGTTCTTTTCTGCATAATATTACTTTTACAAAATAATGTCGATGTTTCACATCTGCCAGGCGTCCCGTGACGGCTCACATTTTTTTTTCAAGATAATGTAATTTTCATAATTTCCAATAATTGTTAATTTTCATAAAAACTACCATGAAATTATAATTAAATTAAATTAATCTATTATTTTTTTGCACAGCTATGTTTATTAATTCGGAATACGTTACGTACGTTAATTTAAAGTTTATGCACTGTATAAAACTTCGTATTATTAATTCTTATGAATGTATATGTCTGTCGCTTTTTGTTTTATCGACTTTCAAATTACAATAATGCTAAAGAAGTTTTCACTTAAAAGTGTATTTTTTTTTCTTCTTCTGACTTGTCAAAACAAAGGTCTTTTAAAGATAGCAAATTTACAATTTTCTTAACCTACAAAGAATAATTAAAATTATTAAAAAGAAAATCAAAACAAATTTAAAAAGTTTGGTCCCTGTTGTCCCTGTGTACCTTTAACGCTGGCTGAATTTCCTCGCTGTATTGCGATACTTATTCGTTGAGCCAGGAAAGTGCCAGCTCTGGGATCACCGGTACTATCTACTAGGCGCCAACTTAAATCTTTAACAAGCGCCTGTGCACTGGGGACTCTTGAGTCTCTACTCCAAAGGGAACAAAATCGAAGTTTCTAGTACACGTAATTTAGATTTTTGTTATTTTTTGCACTTCTTGTACTTTACCCTCATTTTGTTTGTCTATGAGTAATCTAATAATTTACGTAACCTTTTACATCTAACGAAGTGTAAATAAATAAAATTAATTAATTAATATTATATATTTTTTATCGAAAAGTCTAAATCCCATTTGACCCAGTTCAAAATTATTTATACACATCTCTCGTGTAGTGTTTGTAATCTAAACGAGGCAATAATCCACAATTTGCTCAGACCAATTCAATTAATATACAATCAATCTTACATAATTTTATGGCCAATTCAATATACATATATCTGTCTGCGTGTTGGGATGTAACAGGACTTATGTATATGCAAAATTATAATTCTGAGAGTGAGAAGACAGAAGACAGAAGACAAGATATAAAACAACAGCACGAATTGCTGTGTCAGTGTCTCGAGGTGGACTGCGGGGCGCAGGGGCCATAATAACAATTAGTTATGTAAAACATTAAATTAATGTAATTTTATCATTTTTTTTTCTGAAATAGATTACTTGGCTTGCGATAAAATATATCGTGTAACAAAATCATGTTCTATATACATTTTCGTCATAAAACGAATTCAAACCGTCTTAAATTGGCTATGTTTGAATTTTTTTTCTATCGAGCGAAGTTATTATCGTGTATCGATCTTTCAAAATGGGTACATAAACTACTTAACTCCAATATATATTTTTCCCATTCGTACGTACAAAAAAGTACATTGTTTCTTTTCATTTTTCGTCATCGCTTCTTGGCGTGGGGCGAATGGAAAAAATATATGGTGGACAACTCCACAAATGTTTGACACCCTAATTAATCCGACGAGTTCGACTAACGCCCACGCGATTTTGGGTACCGCCGGTACCAGCGCTATGACCATCATTTTTCCGCCACCGCCATACTGGTACCACTATTTTGTGTCACTATCTCCTGGCCTATTACTTTTTTGTTTCGCTTGACTTATCCTAGACGAATTTTGAATTTCTTTACATTTTTCGCAATTTTATTTATTACGCCCTCATTTTTATAATTTCTTAGTGAGTATTGTGAACTATTTTAAAGAATAAGTTATTTATCAGTCTCTTATCATTCCCATTCTATTCTCAATTTCGCCCTTATCCGTACGACTGACAATTATTGTGTGCCTTATTATTTTAAGTTAAAATTATGTTAACTGCCGCCGAAACGTTCCTTGGGGTACATACCGCAAAATATAGATGTACAATGTCCAAAGATTACAAATTTTCAAACAACCTATTTTCTGTCGTAGCAACGGCCTTCAAATGTTACAACATTGTTGAACAGTTGCGTTAATTGGTGTTTTGGTTAGTGTTTGACGTTAAATTTAGTTAAATTTAGTTTTGTTTGCTTTGAAAGTTACACGTTCATGTTTCGCAATTAACTAATCAACATTGTTGGGTTTTATTGTGACATTAAATACAATGTTATTAAAAAGGAAGCACAATTCTTAGCTGTTAAAACGAAAATGTATGTTCTTATATTATTACTAGCTGATCCGGCAAACGTCGTTTTGCCATGCTATATCATTTATAATAAAAATATAGGGGTTTAGAGGGTTGAAAATTAGGGGTTGTATGTATTTTTTAATGCTGTATCATAAAAAATAAATAACAATTTTTTTATCTAAAATTTTAAAAAAATTTTTAGGGGTGGACTACCCTTAACATTTAGGGGGATGAAAAATAGATGTTTCCTATTACTAACTTAAAGAATAGGCACACAAAATTTCATGAGAATCGGTCGAGCCGTTTCGGAGGAGTTTAACCACAAACACCGCGACACGAGAATTTTATATATTAGATTTTTGGAAATGCACTTGGCATTACGTTAAAAAGACAGTCAAGTAGATGTTTGAAGGTAAGTATACCTACTTCTTTTGGCGCGTTAGGGAAATTATGCGCGCGCACACCGTCACAAAAAACCGACACCCTGAAGTCAGCTATAGTCAAAATTTTAGTGTTTTAGTGATATTTAAATAAACTTTATTTAACTAGATAATGCGTTATAATAAAACTTTCAATGTATTAAATACCTTTTTTCTATTGTTAGTGTGGTTTATATACAAACCTAGAATACAATTTTTAAAAAGATTTTTATCTTGTTACGTCAAAGAAGTATAAATGTAATTACGTATATATGGGGAGCAGTTAACCAAGGGTAAAGGAAGTTTTGTTAAAGTTACAAAAGGTTGTTTGTGGGTGATTTTTAGAAAAATTTGAATTTTTCGGTAAATTTTGTCTCTTTATAGCTTGTATATTAATTCACCGTTTTTCTAAGTTTTAAATCCATTAATAGGATTTCTCAAGGCCCTCATAAGTTATACCTTCCAAGTATTAGACCCTAATGCCTTTAATATGGGGGGTCAGTTATGACGTCTTTTTACCCAAATCTCTTTATATCCATTTTATCAAATCTATCAACAGGAAATAGTGATAGGGGGATAAATCGTGAGGTATAACTACAGTGGAACTCATGTAACCACTTTTTAAACATTAAAACTGATAGTTTAGTCCCCAAACTAATTATAAAGCCTTTTCTAGGTTTCAGTGATGCTATTTACATAAAAAATAATGCGTAAAAATCGGAATTGATACGATGTTGTCTACTTTCAATGGAAGTCGAACGAAAACTTAATGGCGCAGTTTGTCCAAAATTTTGCAGTACTCTTAATAGATTTCAAATTTCTGTCTGGGTTATGAAAAGTCACTCAATTATCAAACGGCCGTATTTTCAACTTACTTGTCTCACTCTCTTCTTTGAAGCGGAGACCCGGAAGAGGCCCATGGTATGAAGACCATGTCGGCGAAGGTGGGCCAAGCAGGCGGAGACTAGTGCTGGAATTCTGGGTCTGCCGCCACCTGCCTCTTCTAAACCTGCCCAGCCCCAATCCCCCGAATCACAGGATTCACTCTGAAATTTATTTCGCTTTACTTTAGTTTTCTTTCGAAAGGAAAAGGTGTGTTGTTTGATAGTGGTACGGTTTAACAGATAAAACAGGAAATAGATGCAAACAGAGAAGAGTGAGAAGAAGAGAAAGAAAATCAAAGATTTAATATAGTGAAATACATAATATTTTTATATACTAATATATAATTAACACAACAATAAGTCATTATTAATAATAAGGACTTTCACGCTTCAACCGGGACACAGGTCCAACAAAAAGACACTTCGAGACTTTCTTTACATAGTGTTGTCCTTACACAGCGTCTTGTCCTGCAATACGTTAATCAGCTTCTTTTATACATGGCTGAAATCTGAAGCTCTTTTAAAAGATTGAAGCTGTACCATCCGTCTGTACGGTGGGAAATTTTATCCGCGATGATTCCGTTCCTACACAAATTACCACTAGTACGAGTTGTTACAATAGCGAGTTCTATCCAGCGCTTATATATCTTTTTTATCTTTATTTATTTTTTGCAGTATTTATTTTTCTTTGATATTAATTCAATCTACCACTCTACCAGACTCAGACTAACACGCCTATCCGATCACGCTAAACCGATGTGAGACGCAGTATGCGTTCTGTCCCGCTCTAACGCGTATTGGCCGCACCTAAAGTACGTCATTGTGTGTTAGGTTTATTTCGTTACGGAATTTCTTGATTCGGTCGCCGCGCTCAAAGCCCACGATAAAATCTATGCAATAGCTTAAAATTTTTTATGCCTTATATATAATATTACATCTATTATTATTATTTATTTTTTTTTTCATGGGGTCTTAAATAGTTAAGAGTTATTTTTGATTTTGGCATTTGATAAACAATAAATACAAGCTCCCACCTTTTCAGAATGCCAAATCATAAATGATCTTACGATATTGAGATCGACCGCCGATGCGAAACCTTGGTTCGAAAAGTGAGTTACAGCAATCACAACCCAGGTTTGGCTAAAAAGTATTTTATAAGGGTACCCTTACAATTTTTGTCTCAATAGTTGTCCTTTCTCCGTACTCATCTGAACACTCCATTTACTATGGAAAGTGTCCAGCCCTGCGATTCTGTAACTCACTTTTCGAACTCACACAGCGGTTTTCGCATCGGCGGTCGCTCTCAAATCAGTCATTTTATGATTTGGCATTCTGAAAAGTTGGGAGCTTGTAGTTTATTGTTTATCAGAACGCCAAATCAATAAATGACTGCTTCACGACTGATTTGAGAGCGACCGCCGATGCGAAAACCGCTGTGTGAGTTCGAAAAGTGAGTTACAGAATCGCAGGGCTGAGGAGTTTTATAATACATATCACAAAACTTACAGATTCAAAATCGATCCAGTGGGTTGACGGAAGTCTCGACTTTGAATATATGATAAATAAATCGGTGGCGTAACAAAATATTTAGGTCTCAGATTTCTGTATCTGTTGAAAGATCATTTGTCAATCTCATAGGCAAGTGGGTGATCAGCCTCCTCTGCCTGACGCACGCAGTCAACTTTTTGGGTCTAAGTCAGTTTCCTGACGATGTTTTCCGTCGTACGAGCGAATCTTGAATGCGCTCATAGAAAGTCCATTGGTGCACAGCCGGGGATCGAACCTACGACCTCAGGGATGAGAGTCGCACGCTGAAGCCACTAGGCCAACACTGCTCTCATGACAGGTATATAATCAACTGAATCACCTGTCTTGTTATTTGAAACATAGAAACCAACTCATAATATACATAGAAAAATGTTCACCCGTTAGAAACGAATTGCTCTATTTCTGTACATAGCGTCATAGTATAAAATTATCATGGCCTTTTATTAAGGCCAGGTAACCAGATACGTGACGTCACGTTGACGTCACGTGACGTCAATTTTAGCCTATTCAATTATGTCTTAATTACACTAGCGGGTCAATTATTTGGTGAGCTTTTTCCTTGGATTTACATTTTATCTGCAGTGAGCAGTGTTAGCCTAATGGCTTCAGGATGCGCTCTCATCCCTGAGGTCGTAGGTTCGATCCCCAGCTGTGCACCAATGGATTTTCTTTCTATGTGCGCATTCAAGATTCGCTCGAACGGTGAAGGATTCGTGAGGAAACCAACATGTCTTAGACCCAAAAATCGACGGCGTGTGTCAGGCACAGGAGGCTGATCACCTACTTGCTTATTATATTCAAAAATCATCATGAAACAGACTTAGACGTCTGAGGCCTAGACCTAAAGAGGTAGTAGCGCCACTGATTTTATTTAATTTTTTTTTTCATTTTATCAATATGTAGAAAACAATTATAAGCATTTATTATATAAATATATATAAAATATTAAGCATTTGGTGTTGTGCTTAGGTCTTGGGTGTTGAAATATGTATTTATATGTCTATCTATTTATAATATGTATGTATATCCGTTGCCTAGTACCCATAACACAAGCTCCACCAGCTTAGCATGGGACTAGGTCAATTGGTGTGAATTGTCTTTAAAAATTAAAAAAAAAAACTTAAAATTAATTTTTTTCACGTATTATTAAACACAAATGTTCATTACTCATTTCAAATCAAGGGCGTAAAACAAGAACTGGCATCAAAATGCTCGCCATGCCTGTTTTGTTTTTATTAACAAATTGTGTCACGTCCATAACATTAGTACGCGAGTGTACCTCGAACAGCTGGGTAGCTTGATAGCTTTTTTATGGACTTCCGTAAAACGTTTCGTTATAACAAAAGTTTATGCAAACAATTCATCTTTCGTCAAAAGTATATTTTAGTATCGAATGTTACAAGCCATTAGAAATACCAGGTCACCTTCAAAAACGTTGTTCTTTATAGAATAGGGGGGCAAAACCAGCCTACGCCCAAAAAAGGCAGTCATCGCAGCCCATGGACACCCATTTTAGTGGGTGCGTTGCCGGCCATTGAGGGAGAACTTGTCTAAAGAAGCATACCGTGGAAGACATCCAGCCATCAAAGTGTTGCTGATGAAATTTTGAATTGATACGGCCGTGCCATGTTGGAACAAGGCAGAAGGGATCTACCCAAACAACTCTTCAGAATACTCCATTAACTTTGTAAAAAAACCCAAAGAGACGCAATGATGTCATGTGGAACATGGTGAAATTGATGCAGCTCCTCACAAACATCTTGTAAAACAAAAAACTTGGCGATTAAAAAGAGTGGCGGAGAGTTTAATGCCAGTTCTTATCATCCGTTCTACGCCCTTGATTGAGAACTGGCAGTAAGTGTAAAATTAGAAGCATTTAATATGATTTTCTTTTTGACGTTTTTTTTATGTTTTATTATTAAGTACTTAAATTTCAACATTTCTTTAAGTCAGTTATAAGCTGTAATTCTTTCTTAATAAATAAATAAAGAAATGTATTATTATTATTTATATCCCTTTTATTAGATTACTTAATATCTATTGGACCCAGATTTAAGTAAGAGAAATTAAAACGTCAATAGGTTGTATAACAAATGTCTTTCCATCCATCACCAAACATACAGATATATTGGAATTGGCTTGTGTCATACGACGCCCACTGGTCGTCTGTGATCGTGTCTGCCATCTCCAATACGTCTTTATGGATTGTTGATTGGTCTATTTCCGTCTCAAATGCAAATGTTTCCCTGTTCGTGTGTTTAGCCACTTGCTGTTTACGCACGGAATATTTAAAATTAGATTCGAATTTTGAAATAGGTAAAATAGCGCCGGAAAATTTACTTTAAAAGGTGTTCTAAATTTAAAATACCAAGGTAACACTGAAAGTGTTTGGAAAATGAAAATTTTAATGTAGAAAGTTGCCAATACTTTTATTGTTTTTCGAAGTAATCTCCGTTCCTATCTACACATCGTCGCATTCGATGGAACCACTGAGAAAAGCAGTGGGCCCATTCTTCCTTGGGGGTCTCTTCTATGGCATTTTCGTACGCTTTCACCGCATCTTCAGGGCTCGTAAATACACATCGAATTTTATCTTTAGTTTTAGGTTCGTAGCAATCTAGATATATTGCTACTTTCATCACCTGTGACGTTGTCAAACACAGCATTTGAGTCACCGCCGTTGAACTTATTTAGCTTTATTAAAAAATGCTAATCGCAGCCTATCATAGCTTTGTTGTTGAGTAAGCCCACAGCGAAAGTCATAATAAATCATTGACCGAAAATTTTCTCGCGTTAGGTTCATTTTCACGTCTAACAAGAGTTTTAGATTTGCCGCCAATTCACAAAAACAAATGACAAATGAATGCATTACATTAGGTTACCAAAGAGTTCTAAAATTGAAATTCAAAAAGTTTTCATTAGCAATGTTTCTAACTGGCCCGTTCCAAACATTTTCAGTGTTACCCACGTACGTACCGCGAACTTCGCTTCGTCTGAATATGATTTTTACTTGGCCTATTTTTTTAGTACATACCAACTTATGAAACATTTTGCTATGTTACCCCAGAGACAGAGATAGGCTTGTCCGGAATATATCCAGTCTTAGAGTTTAAGAAAAAAAATACTCGAATCAGTCCGGCCGTCTTCGTGTTAAAATTTCCGACTAATTCATAGTAAATAAATTTACCCACAACTACTTGCCATTTACCAAAATCGTACTAATTTTTGTATAGCTTTGTTGGGACGACACAGCTTTAAACTAAAATATTTAAAATTATAGGAATTCTCGGCTTGTTTATTTATTTATTTATTTATTAAGATTATTTATTTTTAAGATTATTTATGATTGGACAATTCACACACACCAATTGACCTAGTCCCATGCTAAGCTGGTGAAGCTTGTGTTATGGGTACTAGGCAACGGATATACATACATATTATAGATAGATAGACATATAAATACATATTTAAACACCCAAGACCTAAGCACAACACCAAATGCTCATCACATTGATGTTTGTCTCAGCCGAGATCGAACCCGGGACCCATGGATTTGCAGTCAGGGGTACTAACCACTAGACCAAAGAGCCGTCTGTTCTAACGAACATCAGTCA